TTCTAGACTATCTAAAGTTTAATTTTTATTTGTAATATTAATCATTTATAGAATTAAAAAGTTGACACTTGGCACTGTGTGATAATACGACATTGTCACACAAAAATATTACGATACTATGTTGTATCGATTTTTTTCCCCCTACCCCTAATATATATTTTTTCCTCGTTTCTTTTTGTTTTGCAAAAAGGCAAGTTTCACTAGTCTGGCGTTGCCAGACCCAATTCGCAAAATGCGAATGGGTCTTGACACGGACTGTACATTTCCTCTATTCCCGAGGGGCAGTATCAACAGCTGTCACTCAAAGTGCCCCTTCATGCAATTGTAAAGACGGAAAACCAATCAGAGTAAATGAAACGTGTGACGTAGGCTAGCACAACGCCACTGCAAACAGACCAGCAAGCAAGTGCAGTGTGCAGCAGAGATGAGCTGTGATGATGTCTGGGAAAGAGTGTTGCTGTCTTTGCGGATTTCCTCCTCACTGTGGACTCCGAGTTGCATGGCTGTGATTCCCAGCTTGGTCTCTGACCTGACCTGCTCCTCCATGAGAGCAACTAGCGGAGAAACAACAATAGCCACTGGGTTTTCACTGAGTCCCATCTTTTTCCCGATCAACTGAGACAGTTGGTAAATTAAACTTTTACCAAACCCCGTAGGAAGGACGGCAAACACATCCTTTTTTCAATAAAAGCTTTCAGTGCAGCCGTTTGTTCTGCTTTAAAAGAAAATGTACATTCCAGTTCGTTCAACACATTTACCATCGCAGTTTCAAAATCAGTAGCCATGTTGGTTGTTTACGAAATGCATTCACTCCACTCCTTGTCTCTCCTATTCTGATGACGTGCCCGCCCCAAAGTAATAAACGGTTGTGATTGGCCCGGTAAGCTTTAACCGATGCCAGAATATTTCATTCTGCTTAACTTTGTTCTGTTGTCCTTGTTCAAGGACACTTTTTAGTGCCATCTAGTGGGCAGTGAGAGCACTTTACACTAATCCATGTAAAAACAAGATGGCAGCCATCTCTGCTCAGTCCATCTGCAGCTGATCCTGACACAAAAGTGGACAAAACCTGATCACATTTTATGGTTGAAACTTGTTTATTTATGATTAAAAACGTTTGTAGTTTCATATGACATACAAACTTTACCAATTTTAGCCACAAGCTCAGACACTGTTAATTAAAAAGTGCTCATTTGAAGACATTGGGACTTTATTATTGACAATGTTTAGTTTTTTATACTTATCAGGTCCTACTGATCCCAAATAGCTCAGAGAAATTAAAAAATGCACACCAAACAAAATGTCAGGTCTCAGGAGGATAAAACCAACATATGAAGACAAAGAGAGACAGTAACAATGCATGGGACAGAGGCTGAATGGCACAGTCAGTGAGGGGTCATGGCCTGGAGCCAGCGGCCATTCATGAATCGGCAGAGTCACATTTTGGCAAAGGTAAACACAGGCTGAACAGCTAACACAATGAAGACGAGCTGCTGCAGTGTTCACCTCTGAATTCAATGTAAAATATTTTCTTTTAGCCACAAAACTAAAGTTTAGATTATAAAATATGAAAGTTGCATGCTATATGTGTGGACAGGTGTCAGTGGAAACACTAGGGAGCCTGTGTGTCCTCCAGTTACATGACTGAAGTTACTTTGAGTTTCACATCAAGATAACAACTGAAAAACGACCACTAACATGTTTTTATCTTTACTTTACACCCATGGTGCGTTTAAGGACCATAAAGTCTCAGCTTTGCAGTCATGGTGCGTTTAAGGACCATAAAGTCGTCCTGTCACCACGTATTTAAAGCCCCACCACTCACTGCTGTGACTGCCGTCCACGTTGATCTGCGGTCCCTGCTTTGACGTGATGATCCTCTCCGCTTTCCACGTCCCCGCCGCTCGGATACCGTCGAGCTCGCTCTCCAGCACCGCTCTGGCTTCAGCCACGGCGGCGTAGTTCCGGTTCAGAGCCGCGGCGGAGGGCCGCAGGACGCCCCGGGCCGGTCTCACCAAACTGCGGGCAACTTTTCCGAGAGACATGTCGATAACACGGTTTGTTAGAGGTGTCCCTCGTTGTCACACGGAGACGAAGGCAAACTGTTGGAGTAAAGACGGAGGCGAGGCCGTTACGTCATCACGTAACAAAGATGGGTGTATGTGCGCCGGACCAATCAGAGGCGAGGGCACTTGCGAGGTGGCTTGTTTCGTCCAATCAGAGTTCAGTATTTACTTTCCCGTTCAGATCCAGTGTGTTGCCTAATGTGAGCTGTGAGTGACTTACTTACTAAGTCTCTTTCTTTCTAAAAACAAAACAACCTCATCTCTCACTAACTGTGAAAATTATTATAATAAATATTTATAATAAAAAATATTGTGTTATAACTACAGAAACACATTTATTGTCATTGTTACCACACACACACACACACACACACACACACACACACAAACTGATCCTGGTTACCTTGTATGACCCTCATTTTTTTCTTGCATTGCAGAGTGATTCAGGATATAACAAAATTGTAACTCTGATAAACATGTAATGGCGTCCCACGTGTGGATAAACTGATGCTAAATCGACCAGTGACAACAATGCTGGTATTACAGCACCTTAACACAGGCTATGGGAAAGTAAATATTACTGTGCTGTATGAAAGGGTGTAACTCTAGTTTGAGAGGCAAGGAGGACATAAGCAGTTCAGTTCAGTTCGGTACGTTTTCTTTCCCGTTTCCACAGTGAAAAGTTGTGGATGGTACCAACAGAACCGTTCCTTAGCGTCCCCATGTTTGGTCCCCCCTCTGTTGGGGTACCTAGCACACAGATCTGGTACTAAAAGGTGGAGCTGTGAACACTGCAGTCTGATTGGTCAGTAGAGGACGGTCACTCTGCTCAGGGCTGAGTTGTGTCTGGTTTTGAGGCTCATGTAACCACTGTTCATACTGTGGAGAGTTTTATTAGTAAAGTGTAACTATAAAATGAAAGGATGTTTTGCTGCCTCTCACAGCAGCTGGAGTCTGAGAAAAAATAACTTCATTCACTGGGCCGACTGCCGGCAACTTTTAATCGCCACTCGGAGGAAAAAAAGCGTCACAGAGCGTCGTTCCTGTGGGCTCCAGCAACACTAAACCCCTGAGCTTGCCTGAGAAGGACTAAATGCACAAAGCTGCTATTTTTAAATATCCCATGGAGAGAGACTCTCACTGCAGCCTGTTCTGTTTTGTTCTGAAAATGTGGGCGTGCAGCCTCGTTCTGTGGACGATAAACCAGGTGCAGACTGATAAAGGAGGAAATACAGTGAGTGCTGGACAGAGCAGTGAGTGACAACAACCCCGCCCACATTTAAGAGGACTGTCTGTGGTGGAAACACTAGCCTAACACTAACACTAGCCTGTTGGCTCCACCTTTTAGTACCATACTGAAAGTGTTTGGTGGAAACAGGGTCAAAGGGTACAGATGACCACGGCCCAAGGCCAAGGGAAGGCCCATGAAAAGGTTGATGGCTGACCTTTAAATTGGATGACATACAGTTTACCTTTTGACTTATATCACTGACAATATAATTTGTGTATTTACATGATAAATGAATATTTAATATTTTTATCATTAAAACACATTTCAACATGCCATCTGTTGCTCCCACCCTTCTGCAGGTATTGTGAAATGGTGCAGTCCATCTGACAGTGGGGTCAGATCATGATTTGATTTTATGATGTAATGCCTCGCAGTAATTTCTTCAGTCAGTGTTTGATTTTATTTTCCTCTATGATTAGTTGCAGCAAGCAAAAAAAAAATGCTTAGATGATGTACAGTAATTTGTATGGGGTTAAAATGAGGACAGCCAGACTTCCAGTTAATAGTTTTAGTTTAATATTTGACAGCAGTGTGTCATGACTTCCTGTTAAACTTCAAGTAAAACATCTTCACAGGGGAATGTTGGATGTAAAAAACATCACTCACTTTTCTTCATGATTCTACATCAGTAACGATGTGAAGCATCAAACTGTTCTGTGACAGCCGAGCTTCTCTTACATACGAGTGTTTGCTACTTCAACAGGGGTGTTTCTGTAACCCATCATCATGTCTGACAACACATACATCACAGCAATATAATACACAATCTATGTTGCAAAAGTCTGTAACAGCATCCTCTCTTTCTCTCGACAGCAGGAATGTAGCCATATAAAATGTGCAAATGTTCGCATTCCACACATGGACAAACCCTCAGAACAACGTCAAGTAAAAACCTCCGCCCTTCATATAGAATAACATTATTTTATCAGTTAAAAAACACAGGTGCTCCCCAGGTAAAGAGCAGTATACACAGCTAGGACGTCCTTCCTCAGACACGGGGAGTAGTTCCAGTGTCAAATGTGCCATTTAACCGTTCATCTAAAAGAAATCTGCGTTCCTCAGCCAACGGCATGGGAGCTTCATGAGTGCTGTTAGTTTGGCAGGTTTCAGGTGAAGCTTAAGACTCAGAGTGGTTGGTGTCCTGTGAGGAAGCTCTCAGCGACGGCAGACGCTCAGCTGCTTTCGCTCGTTCTGCCAGAAACCTGTCAAACTCTGCAGAGGGAGAGGAGATGGGTTAGACGAGATGACACTCCAGCAAGAGTAAATTTACTGAACGGAATGATGGGATAAAGACGTAGGAGAGAAAAATGGGATTTCATGAAAGGATGCTGCTGTCAACATAAATATATGAGACTAATAACAGGTTTTTGGATATGTGCAGATATCACAACACCATCAGTGGAAAGTTTTTATGCATTACAAGGAAAATGGCACAAGCTGCTCCAGACGTTCCACTTCTCCACATTTTGACGTGATAAACATGTTAGAGCACATTAATCAGAGTATGCACAGCTGCATGTAAAAGGGAATATTAGTGGAATATTTATTTTCAATAGCCATGTGACCAGTTTGGTAGGAATATTGCCTTTTTCAGAGTAAGGGCACATAAAGGAATTTTTTGTACATGTACATGCAGTCACTGATTTAGATTAATTATCAGTTCTTGTAGAAGCCTAGTAGTACTGAAAATCACTTGGGTCAAACTGACCCTGACTAACTGATAAACTACAGAGCTGTGTACAGTTTATGTGTTCAACAGGTCTGAAGCATGTGGCACCACATGTCCAGTAAAGGCACTAGTGCCACCTATGGGTCACATGCAAAAATATTTAGCAACAGATGTTCCACTGATGGATAGAAAATAAAATCTTGAGTTTAGAGACTGTCGTACAGCCAGTCAGTTCAGCACGAACATCTGTTTCCCTTTAAACACTCAGTGCCCAACAGAGTTATTATAGCTTTGTACTTTTTAATAGTTTTATTTTTATTTCACTTTTAATTTTTGTTTTCAATTCAGATGTTCATAAAGGTTGTACAATACACAACACTTTTTTTTTTTAAGGTAACTGACTCACAGTCATGTTGACATCCCAGTATTTTCATTTTTAATTCACTTTGTTCGTGTTTTTGTTTTGTGGGTTTGTTCGGTTCGTTTCAGTTAAGTTTTTATAGTTAAGAATTTTGTTTTAACATTATTTCTTGGGCTTTTATTGGACAGGACAGATCAAGCGTGGAAGGAGGAGAGACAAGGGACGACACGCAACAAGTGGCCGTAAGCTGGCCCCAGTTTTAGTTGGCCCCAGTTTTAGTTTAGTTTTATTTGTTTGTTTTATCACACCATGGGGTATTTGTCAGGGGCAATATAAAAGTAAGGTAAATATAAAGTTCAGCACAGGTACTACAATACAACAATACAAACACAGCACACTCACGTAGACATCTCAGTCTCTATAATCATCCTCCTCGTATTTGTGATAACTCATTTAACCAAATTGACAAAGACTAAAACTAAAGACTTTTTCTATACAATTTTACCTTACTCTAGTTAATTTTGTAAGAACACAACATCATTTCAAATAGTTTTGGTTTGTTTTTTTCTAAACTCTCGTCTTCATTTTTATTTCAGTTAACCTAAATGTTTTTTCACACCTAGTTTTAGTTTAGTTTTAGTTAACTATAATAACCTTAGAGCCTAGGCTGGTGAGCATTGTGTAACACTGCTGTAATATCAAACTAGAAGCTGCAGGTGTGCATGAATACCAAATCAAATAACTGATGACAAAAGCAGCTCTTTTTCAAAATAAAGTAGACCCTCACCTTCACTGGTCACACCGTCTGAATCCTCGAAGTCGTCATACTGTGTCACAAACAGAAAACGCACATTTTGCTTTAAATATAAATACACACACACACAACTTGTGCAGTTACAGTAAAATACATGGATCCTATGAAATAACTACAGATAATCAGATGCAGGGTAGAGTTGGGCCGATGTAAAAATATTCAAACCAGTTTGACATTAAGCAAAATACAGGACCAGACAGGTGTACTGACGTTAACCAGCAGGTGTCACACTGGACTCAGCAGCTGCTTCTGAGTGGTAATGACACTGTGTCCAACCAGACAACTAGCATCTGATTCCCTTAACTATACACTTCTGTTACATCATATAAACAAATCATGTAGCTATCAGCTCTGTGCTTAAGATCAGTCTGGAGATGTAGCCACATAAAGAGTTGCTATCTTCCTATGTTTATACTTATCAAACAAAGAAAACCACACATTGTTATGTTGTGATATTAACTTTACATGACAAACACTATAGCCAATATGAAGTAACCTAGCTTGTTATAAGCAATCATCATTTACCAGAAACTTTCAGCTCTCAGCAATCTCCCTCCACCCAGCTGCCTCCTTATTTAAGATTTTGTAGTAAAATATGAAGGTATCATTTACATAATTCCTGATTTGAACGTCATGAATCAGCCGTTCCTCGTCCACTGTGGTGCTTTCAAAGCGAGCGACAGGAATAAATGGACACAGGGCGTTCAGCTTAAAATGGCATGCTGCAGCCAGTTAGGAAGCCTCTGTTGTTGGCTTCAAATTCAAAATTTGGTTTTCTTAAGAGACTAACTCTGCCATGTCTCATCTCTTCACTCCCAAAAAAACCCCCCATGAACTTTCTAGTAAACCAACACAAAGTGTGCCACTCTTCATCCTTTGCTCAGCAGTACATTTTGCACGACCTGTCAGACACTACTTTCTTGACAAATACAACATCATGTTACACATGTTGTCATATTGCTTATTACTACTAAAACACAAGTTGGATGAAGCACCGTGATGCCGTCAGCAATGTTTGCTGGTGTTTGCAACAATCACACAGAAAGCGTTTTGCAGGTGCACTGCTCTGCCTTTTAAAAAAACTGAATGCCACTAATAAAACAAATACTTGCTGCGCCATTTTATTGTTGCCAGGCAACCACCCAATCACATCCTTACACTAACCTTCCTGTGTAACATTTATTTCACAGTAATGAGTGTGTAGTTGCTGCCATGTTGAGGCAGAGGCTACTGTCTGTAGCTCTGGTTGAGGGTGAGAGGCTGTCAGCAGATAAACAGAGATCTGTGTGGGTACATGAGACCCTAAAAAAGAGGCTGGATCATGGGGAGTACCACCAGTTGGTCCAGGAGCTTCTCCTCCATCATGGACGTTTACAGGCATATTTTAGGATGACTCAGGGGCAGTTTGACAACCTGCTGTCTATCATCAGGCCGTATAGCTCTGGGTATCCAGCAACCACTACCACCAGTTTCTCCTCCATTGTTTACCAACTGTAAACTTGTTGTCATGACCACCACAGAAGGCCCACCTCTCAAATAATCTGATTGGACAATGGGGAAAAAAAGATGACGTGAGGCGCTTTTCCACTCTGAGTTGAAGCTTCTTCAACTTGAGAAGTTCAGAACGCTCCAGAAAAAACGCCAGACACATAGAGTGTAGAAACGTGAGGGGTGTAGCAATGCAAAAACAGCGAGCAAAAAGCTTCATTGTCATTAAATACAAATACAAAAAGCCGCCTCCAGCTGCTGAAACGCTTTCTGTGTGATCCAGGCCATAGGCTGCTTTTTAATTCGCCAGAAGGTGTCACGATATCTAATGACGGCTCAGGTGGATGCATCGCACTTGTACACCAGACCAGACCAGCAAAACCAGAACCCAACACTAGTCAAGAGACATTTGATTCAGTCGGTTTGAGTATGTGCTGAGTTCTAGTCAGAATTGTCCTTTAGTGAGTATAGTAGATGTAGTCATTTACCTCATCATCCAACGCCAGCCATTTCTCAATATCATCCATTACAGTCGACTGATTGATGGGAATCTAAGACAGAAAGCAGAGCAACAGGATGGTCAGAGCAGAAAAATATGAACTGCTAGTTAAACGTAATGAAGATATAGCAACACTACCAAACCCACCAAAATAAAAACAAACAAAACAAAACAAAAAAGGACCAACCACATGTCGGTGAGCACAGCAAGACAGGTATGACAACAATGCAGCATATCAGGACAGTGCAACCCAAACATTGTCATGCTCTGTAGTGGGCGTAGGCACAATCTCCCAAAACATCTTACTGTCTTCACCACATATAAAAACATGCAGCCCTTTGTGTTTTATCTCAACACCTGAACCACCAAACCCAAAAAGTGATCCAAGCAAAAGCAATCAAGACCACAGCAAAGTAAATATATGACAAAACCAAGAGACAGAAGGTGTGGAGAGGTGAATCAATATGAAACCAGGACACATTCTGGACTCAGACCCACCATTCCCCTTTTAATCATCCAATCTAACTTTGGTGAGGAGCTGCGGGTGGAGGCTGGGCTGTCATCCTTCATGCACAGACAGAGAGTTAATGAAGGAGGAAAGAAGTTACTGAGACAAAGCAACATACACTTTACTCAACCGAGGAGCCTTTTATAGGACAGGTAATTCTGTGTTATGTCTCGACTGAATTCACTGACAGTCTCCTCTCTCCTATAAATAATACAGCTCAGACAGTGTGTACGACACCATGAACATCTATAGTGGGAGCTCCGTACTCTGTTGCACATAAAACCGAAGTTTGACTTTACATTGTGATGCATAGTTTTGGGTTTTAATTGCAAAAGCTTAACTGAATTTTTCCAGTGCTCCCAAAGGTCACATCATAGATAAGGAAATGCCTGAAGACCTGAGTTACGCGGCATCGTTGCTTACCGTTGCAGCGTTGTGTTGTCTGCTGTCCGGAGCCTGAGCCAGGCCGTCCACTGTAACTTCACTCTGCTCACTGAAACACAACATTTTTCATTGGTCAACTGCCGTGTAAGCTAATAATATCAATTAACACAGTGAAATACTGGCACCTGTCTTGAAAAGGAATCAGAGGGAATAACTTGGAATTATAAAAGGTGAAGTCCGCACACTGTTATAGCTCCTCAAATGTTTATTGTAAGGATCAGCGTTTTGATCAACATAGATCTTAGTCAGGATCTGACTGCGTTAAAAGTTTTAAACAAAGCCGCTGTAAGTCCTTCATTTCCACAATCTTGTGGGCTGAGCACACGTTTGATAAAACCGAGTTAAATCTCTTGGCATCCATTTTCAAGCTCTCTGTGTGTTTGTTTCCTTCCAGATGAGAAAAGGGGGAGCACACATTTCCAGGAGGGCGTGTCCTTTTAAAAAATGCAAGAGGCATTGCTTTGTTGCCGGCCATTTTCTTTTTCTTTTTCTTTTTACCTATTGCAATCATGTATGCATTACTTTTAGCAAACTATTTCAATGTTTTTTTTCATGATACATTTAGCTAACTATATAGCCATAGTTAGCTAAATATATAACATACTTGGGGATGTTGGGGCGGGGGGTATATATTCGTCTTCTTAATTATATGTTATCTGTATATGTGGTGGCTGTGTGATGGTGGACGATCTCTCGCAGGTCCAAAACAAATTTCTTCTAAGGAAGACAATAAAGATCTTATCTTATCTAACTATTTCAACTGTTTACCTATTACTTTTAGCTAACGACTTCAACCATTTAGCTAACTGTTTCAACTGTTTACCCATTACTTTTAGCTAACAACTTCAACCATTTAGATAACTATTTCAACTGTTTACCTATTACTTTTAACTAACAACTTCTACCATTTAGCTATTTCAATTGTTTACCCATTACTTTTAGCTAACGACTTCATCCATTTAGCTATTTCAACTGTTTACCCATTACTTTTAGCTAACGACTTCATCCATTTAGCTATTTCAACTGTTTACCCATTACTTTTAGCTAACGACTTCAACCATTTAGCTATTTCAACTGTTTACCCATTACTTTTAGCTAACGACTTCAACCATTTAGCTATTTCAACTGTTTACCCATTACTTTTAGCTAACGACTTCAACCATTTAGCTATTTCAACTGTTTACCCATTACTTTTAGCTAACGACTTCAACCATTTAGCTATTTCAACTGTTTACCCATTACTTTTAGCTAACGACTTCAACCATTTAGCTATTTCAACTGTTTACCCATTACTTTTAGCTAACGACTTCAACCATTTAGCTATTTCAACTGTTTACCCATTACTTTTAGCTAACGACTTCAACCATTTAGCTATTTCAACTGTTTACCCATTACTTTTAGCTAACGACTTCAACCATTTAGCTATTTCAACTGTTTACCCATTACTTTTAGCTAACGACTTCAACCATTTAGCTATTTCAACTGTTTACCCATTACTTTTAGCTAACGACTTCAACCATTTAGCTATTTCAACTGTTTACCCATTACTTTTAGCTAACGACTTCATCCATTTAGCTATTTCAACTGTTTACCCATTACTTTTAGCTAACGACTTCATCCATTTAGCTATTTCAACTGTTTACCCATTACTTTTAGCTAACGACTTCATCCATTTAGCTATTTCAACTGTTTACCCATTACTTTTAGCTAACGACTTCATCCATTTAGCTATTTCAACTGTTTACCCATTACTTTTAGCTAACGACTTCAACCATTTAGCTTATTATTTCAACTGTTTACCCATTACTTTTAGCCAACTGCTAGACTGAATTTATATTTTATGGGTAAAAGTTACTGTTCTCATTGTATTATTGTTCACTGGAGCATTATTGAAGTATTGCCTGTATTTTTATGGCATGTGTTAGTGTCAGCCGCTTGGCAGCGCTGTTGAGACAGCGGGTGATGTGGAGGTCAGATTTAGGCAGAGGAAGGAAGGGGGCAGAAACGGAGCAGGATCGTATGGCTGTATGGTGACCTGTGTTAAGAGACCGCACTAAACGTTATAAACAGAACCCAGTACATTGTTGGACTCATTCATTCCTGCACGCACACCCACGTCGCTTACACAACTACTTCAACCAGTCAGCTATTTCAACTCTTGACCCATTACTCTTAGCTAACGACTTCAACCATTTAGCTAACTATGTCAACTGTTTACCCATTACTTTTAACTAACGACTTCAACTATTGAGCTAACTATGTCAACTGTTTACCCATAACCTTTTTGGGTTTTAACAGATCTGGGGAAAACTGCATTATCGTACTATGCAACATGGGCATAGGACAATCTTCAAAAAGATCTAAAATTAGATACACCTATCCACTGATGAATTTAAGGGCACCATAAAGAATGGGGTGAAAGAGACGTGCTTGTTTTTCTCGAGAGGCCACTAAGTTTGAATAGTTGCTGTTTTATTGTGGATTTTTGTATTATATGTTTTATTTGTTGAATTTTGTGTTGATTGGCTGCTACCTCGGCCAGGTCTCTCTTGTATAACACATTTTTAATCTCAATGGGACTTCCTGTCAGCCACCCTTCATGTTATTGTAGGACCAGTCTAATATGCAACTAAATTTCATACAGTATATAGTAGGGGGTCCCTGCTCTGTCTCTCTTTCAGCTAAGGGTTCCTTGGCCTGGAAACGTTGAAGACCCCTGATGTAACTTACTCTCAATGGTGATATTTTAGTTGATGCCAAAAATACAGTGTTTGCAACATATGCTGCTTACTGTGTACACCTTCAAGGTCACAAACTATGGTTTCTAGTATTTCTGTACCTTAGTATTTGTTGAGTTGAGACAGTTACTTTGGGCGATAATGTGTCATCTGATTCACTCGTACCTGCAAAAAGAACAGCAGGAAGTTAATAGCGCACGGGATAAATAGAGGCATATAATGTGCATGTGCAGTATGTATGAAGATGGGAGTACTTACTGAGTCTTGCCATATGACTGGACAAACTGTTGGGTTTTGACAGGCTGTGTGAGCTGTCACTGGTAGCTAAAGCCATGGACTCAGGTGTCAAGGCGAGGTCCGTTAAGTTGACATATGTGTGACTCTGAGGGGGACGAAAAGTAAAAGTCAATGATTCAACCATTTCATTATATTATGAGTGTTGAGCTGTGAAGGAAGACTAGGCCCTTTTACTGTTAGTAAACAGTATGACATTTTTGTAGTGGAAGGGGCTTAGCTGGAGGCAAAACAATTCTCCACAGACATTAGCTATTAGTGGAGGAAGATGATACAAGTGATGCATTCAGAAATACTCATTCTGAGTGTCTGGCACTCTGGCACAAACTGGACTGTTCGTAAATTCAGAGAGCTGTCTGAATGTACCGTTCGGTTATCTAGAGCGCTGCACTCTCGGAGTGGAGACGGAGCAGCAGAGCGCACTCCGGACACTCTGTCTGTGGAGACGGAGCAGCAGAGCGCAGAGTGGAGTGAATGTTTGATTAACTTAAACGTTCATTAATTCATGGAGAATTAAAACACTCTGTTTCTTCCACCAACAGGGCTCTCATTTTAGTGTAGAGCGTCAGACTGAATTTACCAACGCACCATGTGAGGTCACTCACTCTCTGGGACCGCCAGTGTTACTTGAATAAGTAAACACTGACCAACGGGACCAGACTGGCCGACCCGTATGCTCTCACTCAGTGGATGGATGATGTCACAGGAAGCCAATCTTACAAAGGAGGACAACACTTGTTTGTTTTGCTATGGAAGCTAACGTTAGCTAATGTGCTAAAAAGTTACAGAGTTATGGAGAAATCCAATATTCCTCTTAATCCCTCCCCAGTTTCTGATGAGGTGGACATGATAACCCTTAATACACATAACCTTATTCATCCCTACAACAGGAAATACTTTTTCCCTAACCTGATATGAAGTGTGCGCTGCACATGTGAGCATTTTTGATGATGGCCTCCGTCCAGTCTTTTGGTCTTATCACATTTAACCATAGTTGTCTTTGTTTTTGTTGATGGGCAGTGGCTGCTGGTTTTGAGCCATAACTCCTTCTATTCTGGCTCCCAATAACACAACAAGACAATCACATTTTAAGACTCCTATGGAGCCTCCAGCCCTGTGGGGGAGAGGCAGCTTTACCTCCAGCTAACAAACTGACATCATTGTGACGTCAGCCTTTAAAGGGTCTCTAACAACCAGTTCAAAAATTGCTGCCATGTTCTTTACCTTCTCTGCTGCATTTTGACCATTTGGTATTCGTCTTTCAAACCTGTAAACAGCAGAACAAAATTATATCATCATCATCAACAAAATAAGGATCCTCTTTCTTTAATAAGGTACTACACAATAATAAATGTAGTCAACCTGTGGTAGCGAATAAATGCAGTGTTCATCTCATCATTAGCTGCCAACAACTCTTCAATCAGCTTCTCCTCACTGAGCCTGGGGACGATCTTCACTATCCTGTCTTGCATTTCCTTACATACAGTGTATAACTGCTAATGACACAATCAGACAAAGAATGCGTGGGCGGGGTTTTGAGGGGGCAGATGTAACACAAAATATATAAAGTACAGAGATCAGTTAAGGGTAAGGCGCCGTTACTCAACATGACTGGATGGAAGTGAGTTTCTTGTACCTCCAGCAGCTCCATGTCTGCTTGTTTTACTGTGACAGGATCCAGCTGACTCATCATGTCTGACATCATAGTCAGGTTACTTCTGACCACTCCCAGCTCTGACTTCAGCTTTTTTATCTGGAAAATCAATCATATTCCCCAAATAAACACAGCGAGTACTCCTTGCAAAGGCAAATATTGATTTTTATAAGTGTTGGAGTGCAAAGAGTGGAGGAGTTGTGCAACAGCCAACAAGGAAACAATGATTTTATAGGAAAACAGAATTGAAATACTAAAATATCCATCTCTAGTGCAGCAAGGCCATCACCTGGCTGGGAGTGAAGGCATTACTTCCCTCTAGGGCCAATTTTAGCTCAGAAGTCTGGGGTGAGATGAGTGGAGGTTTGGAAGAGAGGCGCACAGCAGGCAGAGTAGTGACAGCAGGCCCGTTCCCAGGCAAAGTCTGCTAAGCAAAGGCACAGAAATGACCCGAAAGTAAAATGACCGAAGACGATAGGTAGCACCCAGAAAACAGCAGTGAGTGAACCAGGCATGCTTGCACCTTTTTCTGGGGTTGGGCAGGTGAGTAACCGTCCAGCTCAGTCATGGGGAACTCAAGTCCTTTCCTTCGCAGGTCTTCGTACACGGACACCACACCCGTCAGGTCGGGTGAGCTGCGGAATGCATCAGCCCACGCCTTGACGAGACAAAACCACAAATTACTAGTGAAGCAACATGGCCACACCAAAGTTGATTGCAACCTTATTTTTCTGCCAGGCTGCCAAACATGTATTGTGGCATGTTTTACCTGTATGATGCTGAGCACCCTGTCATGCAGGATTAATGGAGGGTTGTTTCTCGGGATGATCGAACGGACAAGAACACCCTCTACGAAATCCCTCGTCGTCACCAGGATGTGGAACCTGTAGCCACAGTTCTTCACACATGTCTCCAGGACCTAACACGAGAAGGAGACGTGGTGACTCAGCAAAAGCAGTGAAAACCTATATTTAAAGGGGACCTATTGTGTTTTTTCGTATATTGTTTCTTTCATGTTACAATGAAGGATGTTGATATAAAATGTGGCCAAAATTTAGAATCATGAGGTAAACTTATTTGAAAGTAATCTTTTTGAGTAAAAACCTAAGGGCTCATTTATGCTCAACATTAGATACGTATACAGAGATGGACGGAGATGGACGGAGCCTTTGCAAGCTTGTATTGGTGATATTTTACTGTACATGTAGCTACATGCTAACTGTAAACTTGGTTGGTGATATTGAAAATTTCTCAGTGATTTCAGATCATATTCCTGCTGGAACAAGTCCTGTTGTGTTTATTAGCTTTTACTGGTGATATTTTCCATTACAGTCATTTCCCTGCTGCAAATACACTGCTAACGTATGTAGCTACATGCTAACTTCAGAGAAATATGTAGGTTAATCTTGGTTGCTGATGTTGTTAATTTCTCTGTGATTTCGGATCATATTACTACTGTCATTCCCCGGCTGTGAATACACTGCTAATATAGATTTAGCTACATGCTAACGTCTGAGAAAGTTACGTGCACATGTAAACTTGGTTGAAGATGCTGTTTATATGTCCTAGATTTCAGATCTTATTCCTGCTGGAACAGGTCCGGTTGTGTTTGGAAGCTTTTATCTGTAATTATTTTTAATGATAAGAAGTGTTGTTATTCTCCATTAGGTCATTGCCTGGCTGCAAATACTCTGCTAGCATACACGTAGCTGCATGCTAACATCAAGGAAACACTTCATCTTAGTTGCAAAGTTGTAAAATTCTCCCCGATTTTGGATCATATTCATGCTGGAAGGAGTACGATTGCATTCAGAGGCTTTTCTGGTGATTTTTCATGGGCGAAAGCGCCACTGTTTTTTGTAACAGTCATTCCTTGGCTGCACGTACACTGCTAACATACATGTAGCCTCATGCTACGGTCAGGGAGGGATGTAAACTTGGCTGCAGATGCTGTTTTCAAGGTAAGAATTACCTTGGTCATTCCTTGGCTATGAATACACTGCTAATGTACATGTAGCTCCATGCTAACATCAAGGAAACACGTCATCTTGATTGCCAAGTTGGAAATTTCTCCCTGATTTCGGATCATATTCCAGCTTGAACATGTACGATTATGTTTAGAGGCTTTTTTTTGGAAGTTTTTCATTGTAGAAAGTTTCACTATTTTCTGTTACAGTCATTCCCTGGCTGAAAGTACACTGCTAACGTACATGTAGCTACATGCTATTGTCAGGGAAAGGTGTTAGGTTAGTTGAACGTGCTATATTTCATATCTTATTCCTGTTGGAATGTGTCCGGTTGTGCTTGAAAGCTTTTATTGGGGGATTTTCATGTACGAACTACCGCCATTCTCGGTTACCGTCATTCACCGGCTGACATGGAAGACTCAGAAATGCTGACCAATCAAAGCAGGCTAAAGGCTTAAAGAACAGGCGCAATAACAGGGCATTTCAGACAGAGGGTAAATTTAAGTTATCCAGCACAGACAGTATGAGGAAAATAAAGTTCCTTTTGACTATTAAAGCATGTAAACATGTTTCAGTTGAAACCTTGAATACAAGTATGAACCTGAAATGAGTGTAACAGGTCCCCTTTAAAACTCAAACCAAGCGACAAGAACATAAACTGAGTCAACAGGGTGGTGACGGAGCATGAGGGTGACAAGGGAACAACACTTACAGTGAGCGTCAGCATAACCTCCTTGAAATTCTTGTTCCCCACAATCCTTTTCTTTATGGCTCTGACAGCATCTTTAGGTCTGTAATCAGAGAATTTTCAACAGTCAGCAGCATGTAATCTCCAGAGGACTGATTCGTTCCTGATTCTGTCAGATAACACACACACAAACACATACACACCCTTCCTCTGAGCTGTTGATCATGTCGCAGATCTCCATGTTGAGTGCCCAGTCCTCTGACGGCAGGCTGGAGCCGGTCGCAGACTCTGTGGAGAACAGGTCAATACAATGTTGAATAAGATGAAACTGCAGAGAAAATTAAACAATGTAGGCCTAGTAACAAACACTTTACTGGGGAAATTATCATATAGCTGAATGACTTTGTCATTCAAATGCTTAGTATATGTTTCTCACATTCTAATATAGCAAGACAAATACTTCACAGTTGCTACAGTTCATTGTGTTTTTTAAGTCTGTGATGTTCCACAGGAATCAATATTAGGACCATTTCGAATCCTAATACCAGCATATGTAAGTGACGTGAATTCAGAAGTTAATTGGCTTTTTCTGCGTGGTGATGAGTCTGATTTATTAGTGAGTTTGTAATGTGTTTTTCAAAAAACAGAAAATATGCTTAGTTCAGAAATGCTGAAATTAGTTACACTGCTAGTGGACAATAATCTTTTATTACATTTCGGTACAACAAAATCTTTTTCTGTTTTTATTCACCCCAAAAACTAAACTTCAACTCCAGATTCTTAATTTCAGCAGCAACAGTATACACTGGTATGGTTAAAAAATGTAATTGTGATGCCTTTTTAACAGAAAAAAAGTAAGTTGCAAAAAATGTTATGTATCGCTTTGATACAATCAAAAACAGACTGTGCAGTTGCTGTAGCTTATTTTATAAATATCTGATCACAGTTAAAGAACCTGTGTAGGTACAGGACTTTTTAAATCACTTTAATCTTTCTTGTCCTTTTTAGCGTTTCTATGGTTCAATTATACCATATATTAACATACATTTTGGCTTTTCTTTGTAGTAATCTCATTTTGTGTTCTATATTACTCATTTTAAAGCTGTATATTTTTTACTTTTGTTCTATGTTGTCTGTCTGTCTGTTACTGCCTGTCTTGGCCTGTCAATATTTAATATCAAGCAGTTTTTTTCTGGTTAAATAAAGGTTAAATTAAAAATGTGAAGATATACACTGATACCAAGATATGAGACTATATATGATCTTAGATTTTGGATATTGTTGTATCGTGACATGGCATAAAGGTTGTTTTTACCCTTGTTTAAAAGGCTGCATTACAGCAAAATGATGTAAATGTATCAACTTACCAGACTTTTCTGTTTGTTTTTTCAGGACATATCTCTCAGCCCTGGTACATAGTAATCAAATGTTTACAGGTGTTTGTGTTTACCCCGTCCAGCTTTGTTGTCCTTGTTTTTAGCTGTATGTTTATTTTGTGTATTTACATAGAGAGCAATAAAAGCCTAGAGTCAGACTGCATGTGCTCACACACATACTGGGCCAGTAAAGCTGATTTTAAATCTGATTATAATTCCAAATAATGAATAACAGTGTGTGTGCTCTAAATAAATCTGTGTATTTGCTTATTGTCCGTCAGTCAGTGAAAACACATGTGCAGTCATTAAGCCACAGTTGAACGTGCATCTAATTTGGGACAGGAGGATATGGCCCACTTCTGGTCCAGGCCACAGATTGGCAGGTTCAACACACAGTAACAGCCAATCAGATTGCGCCTCACAGCAGCTAAGTCCCGCCTCCGACCAATCATTGTTCACAGGACGCGTCAATCAAACTATAACCTCCTCAGCTTTAATAAATGTCCCTCAGACTCGTTATTTTAACACACAGACATTAACAGATAGTAACATGTATATTTAAATCATATTTAATAGCCTCTGTGTCAGCAGGTGGACACACAGGTGAGTGTCGGCGGCGTTGTGTCTCCGGTAACCGTGACTGAGCCTTACTGAAGCGTTACGTTATTACAGTGTAAGGACGGATAAAGCAGCTCACCGATCCGCTGTCCCACCGGCGTGCTGAACGGATTCCCCAGCAAAAACTCCATGATGAGGCGGTGAGGGCCCCGCGAAGCACCGACGTCCCCGGGCCGAGTAGCAGCGTCCTCCCCGCTGTCTCCTGCAGACTGCTGCTGCTGCTGCTGCTCACAACAAAGTGGGGCACTAGTTGAACTGCGTCATGCTTTAAAGTGACAGCAGTCTGCAGCCTGCACTCCGGCCACACACATCAACCACTGTTTTATATTACTGTTATATACATTCAGTTATATTTAGGACTCAAATGAAAGATTAAATATAGTGTCAAACTATTATAATATAAAAACTGTGTGTAAAAATGTCTGGTTATAACATGACATCACTGTATAATTTCACTCAGGCTACATGAATGCAAATTAAAGTTACCCCCTAATTCAAGGAAACAGAGTGCTAGGTACACATTGACTACATCCTCCTGAGACCCTCTGTCCTCACATGAGGACATCACATTTTGGGTTTACTTGACCTTAGACTTCATTCTACTTAACTTAGACCTGTTGTCCTCGATCATGGACAAGTTTTTGTGCCATCTAGTGGATGTAAGACACAATGCCCCTATCCTGTAAAACAAGATGGCAGCCATCTCTGCCGAGTCAGTCTGCAGCCGACCCTGACGCAAAAGTGGACAAAACCTGATCACATTTTATGGTTGTTTATTTATAATTGATAATGTTTGTAGTTTGCCATGGCAATACATTTGACCAATTTTAGCAACAGTAACAAGCTGAGACACTGTTAATGAGGAGATATTTGTTTGAGGACATTGGGACTTTATTGTCGTCTCGTTTGAGGACATTGAGACTTCATTGTCGTCTCGTTTGAGGACATTGAGACTTCATTGTCGTCTAGTTTGTGGACATTGGGACTTTATTGCTGTTTCGTTTGAGGACATTGGGACTTTATTATCGTCTCATTTGAGGACATTGGGACTTTATTGTTGTCTCGTTTGAGGACATTGGGACTTTATTATCGTCTCGTTTGTGGACAGTGGGACTTTATTATCGTCTAGTTTGAGGACATTGGGACTTTATTATCGTCTCATTTGAGGACATTGGGACTTTATTGTTGTCTCGTTTGAGGACATTGGGACTTTATTATC